ACTGAGCCACACTAGCCCAGGCTGTCAACTTTTTAAAATACTCAAATGTTCTTCCATCTTAAAATTTAATGTTCTCACTCCATTTCCTCTTCCAACCACCTCCTACCTCTGTGTTCCCTTTCAAAGCCAACTACACACAGAAAAAAAAAAAAAAAAGTTATAAGCACTTTCTCAATTCCCATACCTAGTAAGCAATCATGAACAACTTCAACGTGGCCTCTATCCTGACCCACCCACCTATTGCTTCTAAGGACTTCCTAGCTCAGGCTAGCTGCTTGCAGAGCTCGTGTTTCTAACCTGTGCCTGTAATTATATTGCATACAGTAAAATTTAACATTTGTACGTGTAGTTCTGCAACTTTTAGCTAATGTATACAGGTGTGTGTGAATACCACTAAAATCAAGGTATAGAATAGTCCCGTCACCCACCAAAGTTCCCCCCAATGACCTTTTGTAGGTAGCCCTAAAAAGCCCCCTCCCAAACTTCCAGCCCCTGAAGCCACTATTCTGTTTCCATCTTTATCGTTTTGCCCTACTAGTATGTCATATAAATAAAGTTATAGATTATATGGCCTTTTGAGACTGGCTTCTTTTACTCAGCCATACTGTTTTGTGTTTCAGTACTTTGGTTCTTCCTTTCTTCCTTTCTTCCTTTTCTTCTCCTCCTCCTCCTCTTCCTCCTCCTCCTCTCCCTCCTTTCTCCTCCTCTTCCTCCTCCTTCTTTTTCTTCTCCTTCTCCTCCTCTTCCTTTTCCTCCTCCTCCCCCTCCCACTCCTTCTCCTACTCCTTCCTCTTCTTCTTTCATCCAAGGATATGTTTCCATTTATTTATTTTTTTTCTTCCAGAAACTGTAATGTGCTTTATTTGAGACAGACCAATTTAGGTACACTTAAAATTCTTTCAATAAATCCTATGAAATTTCTTACAAGATGAAATTTTTTTCCTCATTTTTTTTATTAAGGCATATATGTGTACATACCTTACCAATCCCCACCCCACCCCCACTCCCATACATGCCTTCCCTCCCCAGAGTTTTGTGTCCATTGGTTATGCTTATATGCATGCATACAAGACCTTCGGTTGATCTCTTATCTCCCCCATATCTCCCTACCCTCCCCGCTGTAATTTGACAGTCTGTTTCTTTTACTGTCTCTGTATCTATCTTTTTGATCATCAGTTTATAATGTTCCTTATTATCCATAAATGAGTGAGATCATGTGGTGTTTTTCTTTCATTGACTGGCTTATTTCACTCAGCATAATGTTTTCCAATTCCATCCAGGTCAAATGATAAAAATTCCTTCTTTTTTATGGCAGCATAGTATTCCATTGTGTAGATGTACCATGGGTTTTTGTTAATCAGCTTAACAATAACCCACAACCTTCGGACCAACTGTACCATGGGTTTTTGATCCAATCATCTGCTGACGGGCACCTAGGCTGTTTCCAAATCCTAGCTATTTTAAATTGTGCTGCTATGAACATAGGGGTGCATATATCCTTTTTGATTGGTGTTTCTAGTTTCTTAGGATATATTCCTAGGTGTGGGATTACTGGGTCAAATGGGAGTTCCATTTTCAGTTTTTTGAGGAAATTCCATACTGTTCTCCACAGTGGTTGCACCAGTCTGCATTCCCACCAGCAGTGCACAAGGGTTCCTTTTTCTCCGCATCCTCGCCAGGACTTGTCGTTTGCTGATTTGTTGATGATAGCCATTCTGACAGGTGTTGTTTCCATTGCTTTTAGAGGGGCAGAGGAAGGGAGAGGGTGGAGAGAGAGAAAACCATCCATCAATTTGTTGTCCTCTGTACACAGCCTGACCAGAGATTGAAACCACAAGCTGAGTAAGGGCTGTGACTGGAAATTGAACCCAAGGCCCTTCAGTACATGGGACAATGCTCCAACCGAGTCCACTAGCCAGGGCACTTTATTCTTTTTTATTGCTGAGTAGTATTTCACTAGATAGATGCACTACATTTGTTTATCCATGCTCAGTTGAGGGACATTTGGGCTGTTTATAGTTTGGAGGATTATTAATAAAAATTGCTATAAATATTCATATACAGGTATTTGTATGAGCATAATGTTTTTGTTGTTGTTTACATATATTTTTATTAATTTCAGAGAGGAAGGGAGAGGGAAAGAGATAGAAACATCAATGATGAGAGAGAATCACTGATTAGGCAATCTATTGGGGACTGAGCCTGCAACCCGGACATGTGCCCTTGACCAGAATCAAACCCAGGACCCTTCAATCTGCAGGCTGACGTTCTGTCCACTGAGCCGAACCAGCCAGGGCTGGACATAGGTTTTTATTTCACTTGGGTAAATGCCTATAAACAGGATTGGTGGTTATGTGATGTTTGCTTAACTTTATTAGAAACTGCCAAGTTGTTTTTCAGAGTACCTTAGGCATATTTTTAGCCCAAAAATATAAGCCAGAGAGCAGGAACTGAATCCAAGTGATGATGATGATCTGGTAGTGGTGGTGGTGGTGGTGGTGAAAGCTAACAACATCCCTTGCTTTTAACCATTACACATGCTGCATTCTTTGACTTTGTTTCCTCAGCAGCTGGCATTGTCCCAGCACACAGTAGACACTCAATAAATACCTATAGAATCAATAAATTTTTTCTTATACTCCTCAGGAAGGGTGCTTTTCTCTTCTCATTTAATTTTCTGTCTCTCCAATGTTTTGTTAAATAGTGGTTTTTAAAGTTAACTGCAGATTATTCCTGCCCTAGTCAGAGATAACAGTTTCAGATTTGTTGTATCAGTGATAGAAACAGAAATTGAGACTAGCAGATCATTAGGAGAAGTAAGGAGTTTAGTCCGAAACAAGTTTAATTTGTAGCAAACACAGGTTGATTAATTGTAGCAGATTGTGTTTTTCGTTTTTTAATATATTTTTATTGATTTCAGAGGGGAAAGGAAAGAGGAGAGATAGAAACATCAATGATGAAAGAGAATAATTGATCGGCTGCCTCCTGCATGACCCCTACTAAGGATCAAGCTGGCAACCCGAGCATGTGCCCTTGACCGGAATCAAACCTGGGACCCTTCAATCCACAGGCTGACGCTCTATCCACTGAGCCAAACCAGCTACGGAAAATTGTTTTTCTAAAGATGGCAGCAAAAATGTATTCCACGCCTTGTACTCCTCTAAAACCTTGTAATTATCCTTTCTATACATAGAATATAATTCCCTTTCCTTGGACCCTTGTAACCTATAGAATGTGCTAGAAGAAAAACAACATGACTTCCAATGCTAGATCATAAAGAGGGTAGAGCTTCCACCTTGTCTGCTCAGTCTATTTTATTTTTTTGTTAATCCTCACCTGAGGATATTTTTTCCACTGATTTTTTTAAAAGACAGAGTAGAAGGGAAGGAGAGGGAGGGGGGGGGATGCAGGGAGAGAAGGAAGCAGGGAGGGAGGAGAGAGAGAAACATGGATGGGAGAGAGACATATCAATTGGTAGCCTCCCACACACATCCCAACTGAAGCTGAGGATCAAACCTGCAACCCGGGTACATGCCCAAGACATCATGAAGCAAGGACAAACTTCCTCATTGTGCCGTGTCTGAATTCCTGATTCACTAAATCTATGAGGATAATGAAATGGTTGCTTTAAGCCACTACATTTTGGGGTAATTTGTTACACAGCAATTTAACATCCTCTTTATGGATTGGGTTGCATCCCTCCAAAAGACATATTGGCATCCCAACCTCAGAATGTACTTCAGAATGTCATGTTATTTGCATATAAGGTCTTAAAGAGGTAATTAAGCTAAAATGAGGCCATCCAGGTGGGCTGTAATTCAGTGACTAGAGTCCTTATGAAAAAGGGAAATATAGCCCTTATGGGTATGAAGTAGTTGGTTGGAGCATCATTCCATGCACCGAAAAGTCGAGAGTTTGATTCCTGATCAGGGCACATATGGGAGGCAATTGATTGATGTTTCTCTCTCACTCGTTCTCCCTTTTCCTCTTTCTCTAAGAAAACAAAAATCAATAAAAATTTAAAAAGGGAAATTTGGACACAGACATGCATAGAGGGAGAACTGCATGTGAAGAGGAAGGTACAATCAGGAGATGTTAGAAACAGTTTGCAGCTTATATGAATTATTCTAAGCTGTAGGGTGGACAATCGGGGCAACATGAGGGCAGGGCAACCACTGTAGCAACCCAGGAAAGAACCAATGAAGGCCATGGCCATGGGAATGGAGGATGGGAACTGCAAGAGACAGGCATGAAAGGAACATCTGCAGGACTTCATGACCAAGATGGGGCCAAGAAGTCCTGTCTGGTCTTTTATACTAGTACATGGTCCAATATTGGTCCTTTTTTGTTTTAAATCCTCCTGTGTTACATTTTCTGTTATTGCAATCAAGTTTCTAACTCTTACATGGGCTAGTTATAAGAGAAACAAATGAATGTTTGAAAGTAATTACAATGTTGCCTCCATTCCTGTCTTCTCTCTCTTTTTTTTGTTAGACTTTATTTATTTATTTTTTTTACAGCAGTTTTAGGTTTACAGAAAGACTTAGCAGGAAATACCCAATTCCCAAACACCTCACTTCCTCCTCCCCCTCCAGTTTTACATATTATTTTTAAGTGATTCATTTATATATATAATTTTTTTATTTTTTTATTTTTATTTATTTATTTATTTATTTATTTATTTATTTATTTATTTACAGAGAGGGAGAGGGAGAGTTAGAAACATCCATGAGAGAGAAACATCAATCAGCTGCCTCCTGCACACCCACAACTGGGGCTGTGCCCGCAACCAAGTAGCGGGTGTGCAGGAGGCAACTGGTCTATGATTCTCTCTCATCTATGTTTCTGGCTCTCTATCCCTCTCCTTTCCTCTCTGTAAAAAATCAATAAAATATATTTTAAAAAGAAGAAGAAGAAGAAGCAGCTTGGGCTAGAAGTGTCCCCTACAGAAAACACTTCCTCTCTCCCCCAACTCAAAGAAGTCTAGAAGCACAATGATGTGATGGCAAAGTCTAATTGCACAGTTTATTTAAAAAGAGACAGCTGTAAGGTAGAACTGCAGATGTTTTCTTTATTGTAAAGACAGCAGTTACAAAAGGGAATAAATATGACATTAGGAATTACTTTTTAAAAATACAACAATAAACCCCTGGCATGTGTACACAATCCCAAGAACCCTGGAGATTTGAAAATGTGTGCGGGAGGTTTAGAACACCGTCACCGCTTTGGAGCGGATGTTGGAAACTTTCCACATGATGAGGGTGGACATGACCTTTGGGATTTTAAAAGACTCTAGATTTGTCAGTTGTGAATGTCAGGGGTCTACTGTAATATAATTTGCATAGAGTCAGAGTTAGCAGGAATTTTTCTACTCGTTAATAGTACTTCTAATTATTATTTTATTATAAGTATGTAGTAGAGTATTTAGGGGTAGAAAAAAAGGCTGAAATGGGGAGGCATGAATGAAGGTGGGTCTGGGGGAAATGCTAGGGGACAGGAGGAAAGTGATGGAAAGGAACAGAATTTATCTTTTCTCTATTTTGTGTCATCTTGGCAGCATGCCACACCCCCTGTTGGCGAGGGGACAGACAACCGTCCAGTTTGACCTGCCTCAAACTTCACCACCCTCAAAAGATGAGGATGCAAAGGCAACTGGCAGGCTCAGGCTAAGAATGAGAACAGGGCAGCTGATGGGAAACAAAAGGGGTGGGGGGGGGACGGAGGAGTGGGAGGGCGGGGCAGAGAATTACCCAAGAAAATGGGCAACATTAACATCACAGCCCCCAAGGATCCTCTCCTCTGAGGACCACCAAGGGAAGAAGTGTCTGTACAATTTGTTGCCACTCTTTAATGTGGAAGAGGAAAAGGAACAAGGAAAAGTCACAGGTGGCCAAACCGAGGCACGTTCTGGCTACAGAAAAGGGCAGAGCAACGTGGGAGGAAAAGAAAGGCAAGGAACAGCTAGTCTCTCTCACCTGGGGGTGAGAGCGCTCCCTGCTGCCCTGAGGCGAAGGAGTTTGCTTGACTGGGTGTGGAGGCTGGTTGGGGCAAGGAATCAAGTTGGGGGCCAGGATGCCTGGCCAGCTCTCCCAGGGGCATCTGTGAGGCACAGCTGTAGACAGAGGTCAAGGTCCCCCGACTATGTGCTAAAAGTGGCCTTGAGCTCCCGGAAGGCGGCCTGGCGGATCCTCCTCTTCTCCTCCTCCTGCTTCCGCTCTTCTTGCTCAGCTTTCAGCTCAGCTTCAAACTTACTGGCACAGGCCAAGGCGTGGACCTGCAGGGAAACAGCAGAAATAGACCAACAGGGTGAGAGAGGGGGAGAGAAACTAGGAGATGGAGCCACGTGACATGAGACTCCTTCCCTGTGGTCTTCCCAGGTTTGCCTGGTAGTAGCGGGGACAGTCACTCCGCTGTTGGGGATGGGTCTTCCCACTTCTCTTCTTTTTCAGGATACTGTTTAGTGTCCCACCTATTACCCACTTCTACTCCTTCTTTATTAAATATATTTTTATTGGTTTCAGAGAGCAAGGGAGAGGAAGAGACAGAAGCATCAATGATGACAGAGAATCACTGATCAGTTGCCTCCTGCTGCCCCACAGTGGCGACAGCCCACAACCCAGGCACGTGCCCTAACCAGGAACTGGACCGTGACCTCCTGGTTCATAGATCTACACTCACCACTGAGCAACAACAGCTGGTTTGCTCCCCGCTTTTTATTTCACAACAAAATAACTTCCCTGCTGGGATTTTGATTGAGACTGCGTCACTCTCCTGTGGCAAAGGGATTTCTTTACAATATAGGTTCCCCCTGAAAGCCTGTTTTTATTCAGTATGGTTTTTTATGTTACCCACTAAAATGTTTTGTTATCTCTAAATAAGTGATTCTAAACTTATTTCCATATATTACATTTTTTGTTGTTGTTGTTGTTTTTATTTGTGAATGGGATTTAGCGCCATTTTAAAAAAATCAAATTTATCTCCAATGATACAATATCAGGTAAACTCATCTTAAAATCCTCTACTCTAGAACTGACATTTTCTCTCTGTGTGTGTCTCATAAACTAGGTAAACTTTGCAAACACAGTGGGCATGTACATTATTTAATAAAGATGGCGAACTTGCTCTCCAAAGCAACCATTTCCATTTATACCCCACCAGCAGAGAACACAGGTTCTCACTTCACCCACAGCCTTGCCAATAATTAACCTTATAAATTAAGGCTTATAATTAACTTTCTCCCTACTTGCCAATCTGATAGGCAAACTGGCACCTTTTATTTCCTCTTTGGTGAAGCACCCATTTGTATCCTTTGCTCATTTTTCTATTCAGCTTTTTTTCTTTTTCTTTTTTTACTTTCCATAATGTAGGTATTAATTCCTTGTTAATATTTTCTCAGTTACTTTCTCCAAGTTCTTTGCCTTTTTAAAATATATGTTTTTATTGATTTAAGAGAGAGTGGAGAGGGAGAGATCAAAACATTGATGAGAGAGGACCATCAATTGGCTGCCTTTTGCATACACCCCACCAGGGATCGAGCCTGCAACCTGGGCATGTGCCCAGACTGGGAATCGAACTGGTGACCTCTCTTGGTTCATGGATTGACGCTCAAATCACTGAACAACATTGGCCCGGCTTATTTGTCTTTTAACTTCAAGGTAGCTTAAGCCATACAAATATTTTTGAATTTTGATGCAATCAGTGCTTTCCAGCCATTTCCTTTCTGACTTTAGAATTTTATGTCATGTTTAAGAAGTTTCTAAACCCACTTTCCTGTATTTCCTTCCAATACTTTTATGGTTTTATCTTCACAATCCGCTTTTTTTTATTGTTGTTGTTAATTTTCACACAGGATTTTTCCCCCCATTGATTTTTAGAGAGAGTGGAAGGGAGGGAGGGAGGGAGAGAGAGACAAACGTGAGAGAGACAAATCGATTAGTTGCCTCCCGCAGGCACTCCAATCAGGGCTGAGGAACAAGCCTGCAATGGAGGTATGTGCCCTGGACCAGAATCAAATACTGGACCCTTCAGTCCATGGGCTGATGCTCCAATCTCTGAGCCCAACCAGGTAGGGCAAAAACGATCTTTTTCATATACGAAATTCCCACATGAAGGAGATCTGTTTTTATTATTGTCTATCCTGTTCTACTAATTGTTTTGTTTATTCCTGTACCCAAACTACATTATTTAATATTACCTTTTTATTGAATGTTTTTATATTTATAAAAAATTAAATATTCTTTTATCATATTGAAGAAAAATATTTTTATTGCTGGGTTGGCGTGGCTCAGTGCTTGAGTATTGACCTGTGAACCAGCAGTTCATAATTTTTTTAAAAAAATATATTTTATTGATTTTGTACAGAGAGGAAGGAAGAGAGATAGGGAGTTAGAAACATCGATGAGAGAGAGTCATCGATCAGCTGTCTCTTGCACACCCCCTACTGGAGATGTGCCCGCAACCAAGGTACATGCCCTTGACCGGAATCGAACCCAGGACCTTTCAGGCCCCAAGCCGACGCTCTATCCATTGAGCCAAACCGGTTTTGGCAGCAGTTCATAATTTAATTCCCAGTCAGGGCACATGCCCGGGTTGCTGGCTTGATCCCCAGAGTGGGGTGTGCAGTAGGCAGCCGATCAATGTTTCTCTCATCATTGATGTTTCTATCTCTCTCTCCCTCTCCCTTCCTCTGAAACCTATATTTTTTAAAAGATGGTTTCATTTTAAAATGTGTTATTATGAATGTTAAACTTCACCAATGTCTCTGAGATATTTAACTGACCACAATTTTCCCCCCTCTAATATCTTTATTTATTTATTTACTTTTTTTTATTAAATTATTATCTGTGTACATATTTTACCATTGCCCCCCCCCACCATACGTACTCTCCCTCCCCAGAATTTTGTGTCCATTGGTTGTATTTATATGCATGTATACAAGTCCTTCGGTTGATCTCATTTCCCCCAGATCTCTCTACCTTCCCTGCTGTAATTTGACAGTCTGCTTGTTGCTTTACTGTCTCTATATCTATCTTTTGGTTCATCAGTTTATAATGTTCTTTATTATCTATAAATGAGTGAGGTCATGTGGTGTTTCTCTTTCATTGACTGGCTTATTTCACTCCAATTCCATCCAGGTTGCTGCAAATGATGAGAATTCCTTCTTTTTTATGGCAGCATAGTATTCCATTGTGTAGATAAACCATAGTTTTTTGATCCAATCATCTCCTCCAAGATCTTTAGATCTTAATTTCTACAGGACTATTCTTTTCATAATGGCCATGGTATTTAACAAAATTTCCTTTTACAGGAATATATGCAATATTAGGTTAAGAAATTTCAATCAGTAAAAAAGAAAAAAAATCAATTTCAATCAGTAAATTTTTACCTCAAGCATATGTTTGTCTTGTGGACAATTACGTCAGCAGTAAGCAAAGCCTGCTGTCAAATTACCAAACCTCGGAATGCTGGATGGCACAGCAGCACCTCTCCTTAACACATGAGCATCGGCTCGCTGGGTGGAAAGGCTGCACACTTTGAGGCTCCACTTTGAGGCTCACCCAAGTTTGCTTCATTTAAAATATATGCCAAAAATAGAGACAAAAGGTGTATCCCTTTTGTAAATATCTGAATTAATGTTAATTAAAATTATATACAGTATTAAGCAACCTAGAACGAATTCTATGAATGAAAATACTCAATTTCCAATCTTGAGAAAGGAATTGGATTTCATCCCAAGTTTTACTTCTAACAAGTATCACTGCCCTGAGTGCTTATTTAGTGTTTCCTACCACTTTTTTTTTTAAATAAACCTTTATTGTTCATATTATTACAAAAGCTCCTCATTTTTCCCCCCTCCAACAGGTTCCTACCCCACCCTCTGCCCTTTCCCCACCCCCCCTTGTCCTCATCCATAGGTGCACAGTTTATGTTCATTCTCTTCTGGCACCCCCCACTCCTCTTTTCCTTGACAATCATCAGTCCACTCCCCTTCCATACCTCTGATTCTATTATATTCAACAGTTAATATTGTTCATCAGGTTTTTTAATTCCCTTGTTTTTTTGTGTTGTGTGGTTTTTTGTTTGTTTGTTTGTTTTTTATTGGCTTCCAAAGGGGAGTTTAAGGTCAAAAGGAGTTTCGGGTGTGCCCAGATCCTATTCATCAAAATCTGGGTAAGCTCCTTATTTTTTGGTACAAGATTTAGCATATCTAGACCTGGGTGAGTCCTGGTCCTATTTGTTTCTCATTTCAAGCACATGGATTAAAAAATCAGTACTGATAAGAGGATTCTGCCAGTGCCCTCGGGCTCAGTTGATAAGAATTAAAAGAATGTCCATGTGCCTTCCTTGTGTGTCTCCTTACCTTTGGTTTTTACAGCTCCTCTGATTTTCCTTCTGGTTTTCTCTTTCCTTCTCGTTGTAGAATTTCCAGTCATTCGACTTTCCTGTAGTTCTGGGTAATGTCCATTTTATATTTTAGTTTTATTTTATTGAAATTGTTGTGTGCGGCTGCGGTTAGGTGTTTATCTGTGCAGCCATCTTGGATCCTCCTTTCCTACCACTTTTTTTGTTGTTGTTAAGTCCTGACCATATTTTTTTAATTTGATCTATTGATATCAATATTTTAAACATTATCCCAGTCCTTTTTTTATTATTATTAATCCTCACCCAAGGCTATTTTTCCCATTGATTTTTAGAGAGGGGAGGAAGGCAAGAAAGGGGGGGGGGAGAGAGAGAAAGAGAGAGAGAGAGAAAGAAAAAGAAACATCAATATGAGAGAGACAAATTAACTGGTTGCCTCCCAACATGCTCCAACTAGGGGCAGGGAGTGAACCTGCAGCCCAAGTACATGCCCTTGACAGGGAATCAAACCCACAACCCTTTGGCACATGGGCCAACACTCCACCACTGAGCCACAATGGCCAGGTCCCTTTCTAATTTTCATTCTGTTACCTCCTTTGGAGCCTAATGAAGATTCTCACAACTCAGTGGGAAGTTATATCCCTTTTCTGAATTCTGTCTACACTTCACAGAGGTCTGTTTCTGGAGAGAGATACCTCTGAAAGTATTACTTGGAAGTGTTATGTTTTTGTTCTTTGTGAATCAGAAGCCCTATCATGCAAATGTGTGGGTGTAACAGGGACTAGGAAATTATATTTTCCAAATTTCCCAGATATTTCTTAGGACATGAACAGAAACTATTTGCAACCAACATTGTACCCTTCAAATGAAAGGGCATGCCTTCCTTTTGCCTTAAGTCAACTTAGATTTATCTCTAAAACGCAGCTTATAACTTTTCCTCCTTAAATTATTCCCTTGGCTGTGGGAATGTCCTGCCTTGATGGGGGAAAAAAAAAATATATCACCGACAAGCCTTGTAGCATTTCACATCCCACCTCCAATCAAGTGGTCGTAAATACTGGGAGTTCCCCATTGTTGCTGCCTTTATTGGACCTATGATTCTCCAGAATCTATGGAAGCTTCCCAAGTCCAGCCTCGCCCAAGGCAAACCGATCCCCATAGTGCCCATCACTGATCATGTCAGGCTCCTGCTCAAGCTCCTCTGAAGACTCTCCCCACCACACACACACACACATCCACCCAAGTGTGAAGCTGTGCTTTCCAAGCCTGGCCTACCCTGAACCACCTGCAGAGCTCATTCAAGTCCATGTTTCCTGGGCCCCACCCTGGAGAACCAGATAGATCTGGGTGGGACTAGGAAGCTGGCCTGCAGCTGGTTCTGGTGCTCAGGAGGCTAAGGAAGGCCTGACCTCTAGGGGAGCCCAGACTCTCTGTCTAAGTGTGTCCAGTGTGGACCAGGCCCAGCCTCCAGACACTCCTCACCCTCCATGCCTTGGAGCCTTTGCTCCTGCCATTCCCACGGCAGGAACGCCTTCCCTTCCTTGATTACAAGGTGAGTCTCCATCTTTGAACATCTGTCACAAACGTCAGCTCCTTTATGGCCCTCTCCTAAATTCAAGGGGTGATTCCCTGCATTTGTCACTCAAGCAAATGTTTATTGAGGGCCATTATATGCCCAGCACTGTAATTACAAAGATAATATACCTACGCTGCCTTTGAGTCTGGGTGGGGAGGCAGATGCATACACATAACACATTCAAAAATTTTTATTTTATTGTTATTCTTTTCATCTTTTCTCCTGGTTATAAAAATAATGCACCCATAATTATAAAACATTACAAAAATATTTAAAAAGTCCCTTAGACACAGGTATTACTAATGCTTTAGTATGTAATTATCCAGGTTGTATTTAATATTTACAAAATGGGGTTTCAAACAGTTTTTGCTTAATTCATTTTCGGCATCTGTCCATACATACCCGTGGCTGTAAGGTGTGCAAATGAGTGGGTGTAATACCCCTATAATGGAAGTTTCAGTCATTTCCAATTTTTCTCTATTACTACCAGTGCTGTAGAAAAAAAACAAACCCTATCTGTATTTATATTTATACTAGAGGCCTGGTACACAAAATTTGTGCATGGGAGGTGTCCCTCAGCTCAGCCTGCACCCTGTCCAATCTGGGACATCTCTCTCACAATCCAGAACTGCTGGCTCCCAACCGTTCGCCTGCCTGCCTGCCTGATTGCCCCTAACTGCCCTCCCCTGAAAGCCTGGTCACCCCTAACTGTCCTCCCCTGCAGGCTTGATCGTCCCCAACTGCCCTCCCTTCCTGGCCCAGTAACCCCTAACTGCCCTCCCTTGCCAGCCTGGTTGCCCCCAACTACCCTCCCCTGCAGGCCTGGTTCCCTCCTCCCCCCCCTGCCCTTCCCTGCCAGCATGGTTACTCCTAACTGCCTCCCCTTCTGGCCTGGTAACCCCTAATTGCTCTCCCCTGCTGGCCTGGTCCCCCCAACTGCCCTTCTCTGCTGGCCTGATCACCTACAACTGCCCTCCCCTGCTGGCCTGGTCACCCCTAACTACTCTCCCCTGCAGACCTGGTCCCCCCAACTGCCCACCCCTGCCAACCTGGTCACCCCTAACTGCCCTCCCCTGCTGGCCATCTTATGGTGGCCATCTTGTGTCCACATGGGGGCGGCCATCTTGTGTGTTGGAGTGATGGTTAATTTGCATATTACTCTTTTATTAGATATTTATATATAGACAAGTTTGGACACAATGCTGGTGTTGAAGGTGCATTTGTGTCTCTGAGGCCAAACTCCTATAGGCAGAATTCTAGAGGTGAAGGATGATATCAAAAGTTAACGACTTGCCCCGATCTACTCTCAGAAAGTTGGGTCGATTTATGTACTTGCCCAAAGTGTCCAAAATAAATTATAATATCATGATCAAATAAATTATGATAGCACTTCCACTCATAACACAGGCACGCAGAAGAGGACAGACTTTCCCAACTGGGATAGTCAAGGAAAACAGCCAAGAGGAGGCAACTCTTTAATTTAACATGGATCTTAAAGAATGAGTAGTTTTCTGGGAAGAGTCATCTGAATGGGGCCTTCCAGGCAGAGGACACAGCAGTATTGAGGCCCAGTTGTGAAAAACAGGGCAGCATCTGAAATATGCATGGGGTGGACGAGGCTAGAGTGGGGACCAGATCTAGGTCAGAAAAGGTCTGAATGCCCAGATAAGACATTCCCAGAGACTTCATACAGTCTTGGACAAAAACACTCGGCACACTGAGCTGCAGCCGTGGAGTGGAAAGAGCGTCCTGCTAAGGTGGGTCTCAGTCCTCGGCCCCAGCCCAAGGCATCACGAGAGATCTGCACACATTGACTCAGTCAATGAATGGGGAGGACCCATCCCACAAGAATTATTCCTTGCCTCCTCTCTATCTAGGCTGAGAGTTTGCTTTCCTCACTAGACGAGGTGTGTGTCCTGGGAAGGGCAAAAGTGTTGTCTACTACACCCTGGTATTTCCTGAGCTGAATGTGGGGCCAGGCATTTCCAGGGGGACTGGGTTGAATCAATGCTACGTCATGAAGGAAGGACCAAACCACTTTCAGGGTTGGACACACAACGCTGGTTTTGAAGGCACAATGAGTGGTCAGCCTGCCCCTGGCTATCAGATGACGGCCGTAGAAATTCAGGCACCAAGTCCACCATGATTCAGTTTACATGTTGGCACAAAAATGATGGACTGTTTCTCCAAGCAGCATCCTAGGGGCCCGAGCAGGTTGAAATGTGTTGCCAAGGACAATTTGTCTCTGGGCAGACTAGTAAAATAAGCCAAAACCACACAAGAGGCAGACTCCTGCCTGGGGTGGTGGGGAGTCCCAACAGCTCATATCACATATGGACTATTCACAGTGAGCCAGGGACTTGCTTAATACTTTATGTATACGTGAACTCTGGTAATCCTCACAGTAATCCCATCATCCCCCATTGCACAGATGAGGAAACTGAGGCACAGACAGGTAACAGGAGGAGGCAGAATCTGAAACCAGAGAGCCTTACCAACTGCACTCCACTGCTGTGGTAGACAGGGGACTTGGAGGGCTCTCCTGACCTCTCTCTCTCTCTCTCTCTGCAGGTGTGCTCTGCAGAGGTGAAAATGACAGCGCCCAGCAAGGGGAGGGTTCTCCATAAATGCTCAATGGCTGGATGGACATGTGAATGAATGGAAGCACCCAGAGGAGATTCAAGACCATGCACTGCAGATTCCTTACCCACTCCCAGACATTGTCAATGGAGCAAATGGCCCCATTGGTCACTTGTTTACACACAAGTGTGTAAGAGGCAAATATGGAGGTAGCTGTCCAAGTAACCCAATATGAAACCAGAGTCTGATGCCTGTGCCATTCGGTGGTTTTCCTGTTTTGTTTTTAATTTGTAGATTGCAGGCAGACACATTCATTCTCCTGCAATCACACATGATCTATTTAAGCTTGTCCGGAGGGAGTTGAGCGAGTCGCTAACTGGCATCTCCTGCTGGGCAGGGTAGAGGGAGGGGGCGATTGTCCTGCGCGGAAGAAGCCACCTACCTTGGCTTCAAAGAAGTTCTTGGCACCCTTGACGCCCTCCAGGGCAACATCGATCTCGGACAGCTTTGCCAAGGCCATCAGCCCACTCTCCTCCTGCAGCTCCCCTGCGGCAGCCTTGTGAAAGATGAGCAGGAACTGTGGGGAAAGGTCAACATAGGTGAGAAATTGACAACCATCTCCTTCGGCCCCACTAGATTGCTTACCTTTCCCAGTATTTTCTAAGAAATCCTTATAGCTATGCTTCAAATGCTTTAGCTCTGTCTCTCCACTTTTGTTCATGGTCATTTTTGACTTTCAAAAATTTTACATAAAATCTAACAAACTTTTTCTTTTTTCTCACCAGTGTTATGCTTAGAAAAACCTTCCTCGCCACCAAGGTTATAGACACAATCACCCACGTTTTTGTCTACTGCTTTTGACTCCCCCCCTTTTTAAAAAAACAAAACAAAACATGTAAATATTTAATCTCTGAAATGTATTCTGATCTATCATGCAACGTTGATCATTAACCATATTTTCCTTCAAATGGTTAGTTAGTAATCCCCACATCATTTATTGGATAATCCATCTTCTTCTTCCAGATTCAAAATGTGACCTGAATGAGTTAATCTTTAAAGCCAGCCTGTGCCAAGGCCTCTGTAGAATGCATTTAAAAATAAATAAATAGGCTAAGCTGAAAAGGTTGGTCCCCCAGCTTTCTGTCTTTCTTCCCCAAGTCAATTTTATGGCTTTTAATTTCTCTTACTTAAACAATTTTTCTGAATTTATTTGTCAGTAATGCTACCCAACTTCTACCATTTATTTTTCCATTTGGAAAGAATATGAGTTATGCATTCACATCAAAGAGGCTTCTCCAGGTTTTCATGTGCTACCTAAAATATAGGGAAATTTGGGGTTCTTTTTCATGACCTTCTTTTCTAGAGAATGGCTTCCCAAGAGCAAAGGACAATACCTAAAGTATCGTGAGAAGTAAAACACCTACAACAAGCTCTCCAAATCCCACCTGGGATGTCTTTTACTGCCAAGACTCTTAATTCCTGGAGGGAAGTTTCTTTCATCAAGTCAAAGTTTCAACCTCCTTACCCTGGCCAGTGGCTCAGGTAGTTGAGCATCCCCCCATGCAGGGATGGGTCATAGATTCGATTCCCAGTCAGGGCACATGCCTGGGTTGCAGGCTTGATCCCCAGTTGGAGGTGTCAGGAAGCAGCCAATCAATCTCAATGTTGCTGTTGTTTTTTTCCCCTCTCCCTCTTTCTCCAAAATCAATAAAAACATACTTTTATAAAAAAGTTTTTCTGAAACCAGTTTGGCTCAGTGGATAGTGTCAGCCTGCAGAATGAAAGGTCCCAGGTTTGATTCTGGTCAAGGGCATGTACCTTGGTTGTGGGCACATCCCCCATAGGGGGTGTGCAGGAGGCAGCTGATTGATGATTCCCTTTCATTGATGTTTCTTTTTTTTTTCTTCTTCTCTTCTTCTTTTTTTTTTTTTTTAATATATTTTATTGATTTTTTTTACAGAGAGGAAAGGAGAGAGATAGAGAGCTAGAAACGTCGATGAGAGCAAAACATCGACCAGCTGCCTCTTGCACACCTTCTACCGGGGATGGGCCCGCAACCAATGTACATGCCCTTGACCAGAATCGAACCTGGGACCTTTCAGTCCGCAGACTGACGCTCTACCACTGAGCCAAATCAGCTTCAGTATCATTGATGTTTCTAACTTTCTATCCCTCTTTCTTCTTCTCTGTAAAAAATCAATAAAATATATTAAAAAAAAAAAAAAGAAAAAGTTTTAACCTCTACCTCCCCCATCCCAGAAACATTGCTAATAAAGTTTTCTTTGTAATTCTTGCTTTGGGAGTCTTGGGAGCATTGCTGAATGCAAAGCTGTGGATGAAGCAAGATGCTCAGGGGTGAAGCAAGATGTGCAGGAACACGCAGCTTTGCAGAGGCCACTGGTTGGCTCAGTAGCAACACGATGTTCATCCACCCGCAACTTCAAACTCTCTCACTAGGGGTCGGCAAAGATTCAGTTTGCTGCAGACTCTCAGAGCCCAAACACTGGCTCCAGAGGCTTGGAAAATATTAAGTATACTTATATGAAAGCTATATATGAAATCAGCTTTATCACTGACTATAAAGACACTTCGGTGTTTCGTTTCATATGCCTGAGAGTCAAGCTCAGATATTATAAAAGAAATGTATTTAACTATTTTTTAAATTAATACATACATATTGGCTATAAAAACAAAACAAAACAAAAAACAAGCCTGTTGAAGAAGGTGAGGTTCACAAGAGTAGGGAGGTGTGGGGGGGATTTGGGGACAGTTGTGGTCGGGCTCTCACAGAAAACCCTGAAGCAGCAAAGACTTCAATGCTGCAAATGTGAGCCACTCCAGGAGAGAAGGAGGGAAGTATCTGTCCCTTGTCCCTCGGTACCCTGCCTGTCCTTAAAGCACTTAGTTACAGAAGCCCCTCCCCCACCACACACACAAAAGCAGGTAGCCTCTGCATACCAGCCATTCCCTTGGGCCCAGGGAGGCAACGGGAAAAGATAGAGCCTAGCAACAACCCAGGTGACCCTGGGGAGGCCTCTCACGTCTGAAGTGGAGATGACAATGTTCCTCGGTGTTTACAGAACAGCGTAAAGTATTCCTTGTGGGTCTTTTCCCAGAGCAGATCCCAGCCTGGCCCCGTATGCTCCCTCTGCCAGCTCAGCAGATGACCAAGAGGAGCCCTGTCATTACTGAAGGGCCCCCATCCCAGCCAGTTAAAGAAGATAAAAAGTCCAGCTCAACCTGAAAATGTGCAGCCTTCCAAAAGCTTGTCAGACATTCCCATTTAATTTTATTACAATCACCAACGCTGAATGACAATTTCTCTAACTGCCCAGCCTTGTTTGTCTTCCTATTTATAGTCCACAAAGACTGGTATGTTGTGGAGAATTGGAAAATGTCCTAGCTATGAGCAAAGAGCGGGGGAGGGAAGGAGAAACAGAAAACAAAGAAACAGAGAGAACGGTCAAAGCTAAACGCAATTTCAGATACAAGTTATATTATAAAATGCTTCGGATAAGTGTAGGAAATTTTAAATGTCATGGCTCTAGCTTGAGATGCAAACATGTCTCCATATTAGTTCATAGTTTGCAAGTAACAGAAACAAACTTGGTTTAATCAAAAAGGGGGTAGTCATTATATAAAAAGGTATCTTTAGCTGAAACCGGTTTGGCTCAGTGGATAGAGCATCAGCCTGCGGGCTAAAGGGTCCCAGGTTTGATTCCGGTCGGGGGCACGTACCTTGGATGCGGGCATATCCCCAGTTGGGGGTGTGCAGGAGGCAGCTGGTCGATGTTTCTCTCTCATCGATGTTTCTAACTCTCTATCCCTCTCAATTCCTCTCTGTGTAAAATTAATAAAATATGTCTTAAAAAAAAAAAAAAAAAAAAAGAGAGAAGATATCTTTAAAAAATCAAGGGTAGCCCTGGCCAGGTGGCTCAGCTGACTGGAGCATTGTTCCACTCACTAAAAGGTTAAGGCTCAACCCCCTGTGAGGGCACATACCTAGGTTGCAGGTTTGATCCCCAGTTGGGGCTCCTAGAGGAGGCAACCACTCGATGTTTCTCTCGCACATGAATGTTCCCCTCTCTCTCTTTCTCCCCCTTCCTTCCTCTCTCTCTAAAATCAATAAAAATATATCCTCAGGTGAGGATGGAGATAGAACTGCTAACTTTGGTCCATCGTTATGTTTCTTCTGTGCGTCTGTACACACATACAAACTACAAATGCAAATAATATTTTACATACAGTTTAGTAATCTGCTTTTGTCCTTACTTTTTTTTTTTTTTTTAATTGGTTCATTTGTTAATCCTCACCTGAGGATATTTTCAGTGGAATGGAGGAGGAGAGACAGAGAGAGAGAAACATCGATGTCCCACTGATTGGTCAGGCCCAGGTGAGGATCAAGCTTATACCTAGGTATGTGCCCTTGTTCAGAATTGAACTGGGACCCTTCAGTCTGCATGCCAATGCTTTATTCACTGAGCCACACCGGGTAGAGCTTGTCCCTACTTTTTACATTGTCAACAATTGTTCTCTGGTCATGAAACACTTTGTTGTATCATCATTTTTAATGGATCCATGTATGTCATTTTCTAAAATGCCCTTAATGTACATGCATTATTTTCATAATTGGAAATGAAAAGGTTTAAGAGGAAGACCATTTCTTTGTATATTTGGGAAAAGCAGCAAAATAATACTTAAGAGAGACCTACCTTTTGTATCAAAGAGCTTTATTTGGGTGTGACTTGCTTGGGAGAGTTAAAGAAAGGTAAGCACTTACTAAGTGCCAGGTTTTGAGAAAGGAACTGAAGATGTGAGCAATTTTGTTTCTTGGCAACCCCTGTCCCATGTGATGATGGTAAGTCTGTTGACCATGGTGCCCTGTAGCACCTGACCTGGCCTTAAACAATAACAGTCCCCTGAATGCAATGATTGGTCCAGGACGTGGGCACGCATTCCTAGTAGGTCCAATCAGAGCTCTTCCTCTAGGACCGGTATGGACTGAGACAAAGAAGCGCTCTATTCACTGGGGTTGCTAAACTGGGACACTGCACTTTGGAGCTGTTGTCAGCCATCTTGCAGGTGCTGGGAAAATGCCCTATGTGGAGTAGAAGATGAGGTGGACATGGAAGAAAGCACAGTGAAGATGTAAAAATATATCAAGAGAATGACCCTGGATTACTTGTGCCTAATGCATTTCTACTTCTTCATCTCCCAGGTATGTGAACCAATACTGATTTTATTTTTCTCATTTACATTAGTTGGCATTCTCTTTCTGTCACTTACAACTAAGAGTTCTGATACAGGCAAAGGAAGAGAATTTGGTTCTCCCAACAGTCCTGAGGAAAAGCTATTAACACTCCCATATTAAGACAGAAAAACTGAGGCACAGAAGGAAAATAATGTGCTGAAGTTCTGCAGCTTGTGTGAGACTGAGGTCTGACAGCAAACCTCCCTCCATAAGCACAGCGTGGTAACAGCAAGCGAGCCTATATCTCTGGAGATATATCTGCTAGAAGTGGGACCACAATGGGCTCTGAACTGACAAAGGAGTGAATGAAAAGGTCACTAAGCCCTGTAGGCAGGTTGAAAACACACCATGGAACCCTTGGAGATGTCCAGTTCTCTACTGTCCACCATCTGTGGGAAATGGCCAAACCAGCATCTCCAGCAGCTAACCAAGCATCTTGGACTCTGGGAAGAGCAAATTTGGTAAAACTCAGGGCAGGGATTGTGTTAGCTCAGTTGGTGACTTGCACAGACCTCTTAACACCCTCTCAATTTCTGTTCCCCAGAGATCACAACTTTGCCACAGAAGCTCTTTCCCTAGTGTTGCCTCCAAAGCTTCACCAAGCAAATGCTTTTACCTTCTACACCCCAGGGGCACCAGGGTAGGAAAGAGTCAGTGTCCAGTACCACACATGCATGATATAAATGAACCAAATGGCAGGTGAGGGAGCAGGAGGGACAGGTGGGAAGGTGACCATGGCGAGTGACACAGGTGACATACAGGCTACAGCTCAGGTCCAGCCATAAGCTGGGGCCTGATTTCAGCCAAATGCTGACCTTTTTGGCCCTCTAGCTCCAAGCTCTGCAATAAAGGCTGGACCGGATTATCCTAGTTGGGGGCCTATGCCCAACACATGTTTTCCGTGATCTTTCATCTCCATCCACATCTACCAGTTCAGGAAAGGAAGTGATGGAAGAATCTGGAGTTGATTTGTGGGCAGTGAGAGGCAAGGTCAGTTTCATCACAGCTGGGCAGGAACTCGTGGTTGCTAATCAGCTGCAAAGACCCCAGGAAGAGCCTCCAAGGCCCTATCTAGTCTGGACAGAAAACCAGTACTCGGTCAAAGTCACCATTGGAAAGCAGGATGCTGGAACTCCACTGTTTCTGGAATATTAGTAACAAAGGGTAAACACCAGGAAGGACAATCTTCTCTATTCCCGGCCCCTGAGGGATCAGCTGAGACATGCCTAAGAATAGACTTCAGCAGCTGGGCTAAAGCCCAGAGCCTTCAGCCTGATGTTGTCCCCAGGTTATTCTAATTCTAGGCCACTCTGACACATCTAGAGGCCTTTTAATAAAACTCAAACATATAAAGTGTACTTAGTGGTCAGAGTGACACCATCCAGATTACAACTCTTCACATCCATAAGAGACACACTCTGGGGGCAGACTTAATGAGCGCCAAAACCCCACTGAAGCAAGTCCTGCTCCATAAGGGTGTTTCCATTACAGAAATTCTCCCACTGTAGACACAACTGTTCCTCACAGTCAGTTGGCCTGGAGGTCAATTCCTCCCAATGATACCAACAGCAATCAAAGCTTAACTACAACAAGACTGTGCACACAGCCCACAAAAGGGTGCGCCAAGAGTGTCCACCTCAGGTAATTAGAGAGACTGAGCCACCAGGCCCTATAGGACACATAGCACACAAAGCCACTCTATCAACAAAGGAAAATACTCAAAATGCAGAGACAAAGAAACAGGTCACAAATGAAAGAAATGGAGGAAAGCAAACTACTGGATATACAGTTCAAAACCATGGTTATAAGGTTACTCAAGAATCTTCTAGAAACCTCCGAGAAATTTAGTGAGACTCTCAAGGATATGAAAAAGGACCAATTAGAGATTAAGTATACACTGACTGAAATAAAGAATAATATACAGAGATCCAACAGCAGACCAGAGGATCCCAAGAATCAAGTCAAAGATTTGAAATACAAAGAAGCAAAAAACACCCAACCGGAAAAGAGAAAAGAAAAAAGAATCCAAAAATATGAAGATAGCCTCTGGGACAACTTCAAGCTTACCAACATCAGAATTATGGAGTTACCAGAAGAAGAGAGAGAGCAAGGCACTGAAAACCTATTTGAAGAAATAATGACAGAAAATGTCCCCTACCTGGTGAAAGAAATAGTCTTACAAGTCCAGGAAGCGCAGAAAACCCCAAACAAAAGGAATCCAAAGAGGACCACACTAAGACACATCATAATTAAAATGCCAAGGACAAAATATAAAGAGAGAATATTAAAAACAGCAAGAGAAAAATAGTTAGTTACCTACAAGGGAGTAACCATACGACTGTCAACTGATTTCTCAACAGAAACTATTCAGGCCAGAAGGGAGTGGCAAGAAATATTCAAAGTGATGAATAGCAAGAACCTACAACCAAGATTACTCTACCCAGCAAAGCTATGATTTAGAATTGAAGGTCAGATAAGAAAAAGCTAAAGGAATTCACAGATAAGAAAAAGTTAAAGGAGTTCATCACTGCCAAACCAGTATTATATGAAATATTGAAGGGTATTCTTTAAGAAGAGAAGAAAAAGGCAAAGATAAAAATTATGAACAGCAAAGTGACAACAAATACATATCAAAAAGTGAATCTGAAAATCAAGTGAATAAAAAAAGATGAACAAACATAATAAACTGGTGAATATAATACAATTAGGGACATAGAAAGGGAGTGGACTGACAATTCTCAGGGGGGAAGAGGGTGTGGAAGGTACAGAAGAGACTGGACAAAAATTGTACACCTATGGATGAGGACTTGGGGGGATGGGTAAGGGCAGAGGGTGGGGTGGGAACCAGATGGAGGGGAGCTATGGCGGGGGGGGGGGGGGGGGGAGAGGAACAACTGCAATAATCTGAACAATAAAGATTTATTAAAAATAAAAATAAAAGAATGAATGCCTTAGTCCCCAAGGGGCCTCTGGCTGTTACACTATAACTTTCTTCACCTTAATTCTGAATTTACTGTGTACATGTTTAAGATAAAACTTTAGACTTATAATAAAAAATAAAAAACTCAAACATATAAGACATGGAATTCCCTTTCTTCTGGGGTTGCATCCTTACCCTGGGAGGAACCCAATGGCCTTGAGCCTCCTCCCTACCCTCAAACAGAAAAGGCCATATCACCCACAGGGAATCAGCCTGTGAACCTGTGTGCACTCTCTCATACAAAATTTTGCTTGCAATTTCAGGGTTCAAAGGCCAAAATGACTATTCCTTTTAGAGAAAGAGTGGAAAAGGGAAGGAGAAAGAGAGAGAGAGAGAGAGAGAGATTGATTTGTTGTTCCACTTATTTATGCAATCATTGGTTGCTTCTTATATGTGCCCTGACTAGGGATAGAACCCACAATCTTAGGGATGTGTTCTATCCAACTGAGCTACCTGGACAGAGCAGCCTCCTTTTTTTTTTTTCTTTTTTCTTTACTATTTTTAAATGCTTACTATAAAAACAAAAAGTTTTAATATGGAAAAAAAGAATAAACTTATATAACCACCAAAACTATGCACCCAGAAATACCTACTATGAATATTTTGGTGAATATCTTCCAGATTTCTCAATACTTATATCATTTTACCCAAATGAGGCTAACCTACCCACAATGACTTTCTTCTTCTTTTCTTTTCCCTCCCAATTGATTTTTATTTTTTTATTTTTAGTTTTTAATATATTTTATTGATTTCTTACAGAGAGGAAGAGACAGGGATAGAGAGTTAGAAACATCGATGAGAGAGAAACATCGATCAGCTGCCTCCTGCACACCCCCTACTGGGGATGTGCCCGCAACCAAGGTACATGCCCTTGACCGGAATTGAACCTGGGACCTTTCAGTCTGAAGGCTGACGCTCTATCCACTGAGCCAAGCCGGTTTTGGCCCTCCCAATTGATTTTAAAGAGAGGAAGGGGAGAGAGAGAGAGAGAGAGAGAGAGAGAGAGAGAGAGAGAGAGAGAGAGAGAGAATTGATGTGAGAGAGAAACATGGATAGGCTACCTCCCACATATGCCCCAATAGGGGATCCAACCCACAAACTCAGTATGTGCCCTGATAGGGAATTGAACCTGCCACCTTTTAAAAATACATTTTTTTTTTTTATTATTGATTTCAGAGAGAAAAAGAGAGGGAGAGCAAGATAGAAACATCAATGCTGAGAGAGAGTCTTTGACTGGGTGACTTCTGCACACCCCTTACTGGGGATAGAGCCCACAACCTGAACATGTGCCCTGACTCTGAATCAAACTGCAACCTCCTGGTTCATAGGTTGATGCTCAACCACTGAGCCACACTGGCTGGGCCGAACCCACCACCTTTTGGTGTACAGGACAATGTTCCACACAACCGGGCTACCTGGCCAGGGCCACCCTGACTTTCAGTCTCTTTACTGAGCATTTCCCCATGGCAGAACTGAGGTTCACTAGTGCCTTAAATTGTTTTTACAAGCAGAACTGTAGATTAAATATCCAAACCCTGCTCTGGAGAAGCCCAAGCCATTTGTACTCCAGGAGACTGTACATTTGAAGGTGTCCTCAGGGTCACTCCCCCTCCAGGGGCCCAGGATTGCAGGACACAGGTACCTCACGGAAGCTGAGCTTGCCGTCAAAGTCCTCGTCCACCTCCTTGATCATGCTTTTCAGGCCCAGGTGGGTCTGGGGGGCCCCCAGTTTCTCCATCATCAGCTTCAGCTCCATCAGGTCGATGAAGCCGTCCCGTCCAGCATCATACCTGCAGAGTCAAAGGAAGCACACGGATGAGGCATGGCACAGCCAGGACAAAAGAACACTTGTTACTCTCCCAAGTGTGTGAATCTTTGGCCTCACTCATTGAAAAGTGACTCAAGTGCCTCCTGCTTTGCAGCACCTGGACCACAGCATCAGAAGGGACCACCTTCCACAGGACACCTTTGGGCACTGCATACTATGATTCCCAGTGGATCTTGTACTACATGTTTGTTTTTAATGATTTATCTCTAGAAGTGGACCATAGTTTCCTGACGATGAAAATATTCCTGTTTACCTTTATTCCCTCCATTTCCGTCAATAAACATCAACGGAATCTCCTGATACTGGACAGCAGGCGAGCTGCAGGAAGGTGCCCTGTGCACCCACTATCTTCACACAAAGCAACCAGAGACTCCAGTAGCCTCCCCTTGGGTTTCTCTGCCCCCATTTCCACCAACCCCTCCGCTCATCCTTCTGTCTCCTGAGTATGCTTCCTGCCCTTGCACGAGGCTGTGAATCAGGCTTGGCCACTGCACCCTGGCTTTATGCTTTGCCTTCTGGCTCACTCATCTAGTCTCCAGTTCCGAACAGTCACTTTGGTGTGAGTGACAGCTGAGAGGGATCCTGGCTCTGTCCTCTTGTCTGAGTTTTAACCACATAGCCAGCACCTCTGGTGGTTGTCCCTTGAGGCCCCCATCCCTCTCCCTGAAAACAAACCCAGCCACCTCCACGTGGAGATCCAGCCCTGCCCTCTATTGCAGAATGCCTAGGTCAGCCCAGTAAGGTCTTCTTTAGCCTTCTGTCCTCTGCTTTCTCCTGACCACTCCACCTGCCTTCTCTACACACTCGGTTATTACAGCATTTTCTCACAGACTCCCTAAACTCCTCCCTTCAAGTCCATCTTCTTTTCTGCTACCTAGAGTTCTCTCTTGCTTTAAAAAACATATCCATGCATAATCGCCAAAAGGTGGAAACAACTCACATATCCACTGACACTTGAGTGGATAAATAAAATGTGGTATATCCATACAATCAATGGGATATGGCATATTTATACAGTAGAATATTATTTGCAATAAAAAGGAATGAAATTCTGATACATGCTGTGACATGACTGAATCTTGACAACATTATGCTAGGGTTGAAATAAGCCAGATACAAAAGACAAATACTGCACAATTGCATCTATTTGAGGTATCTAGAATTCATAGAGATAGAAAGTAGAACAGTGGTTAGCAGGGAGTGGGGGAATGAGGAGTTACTGTTCAATGGGCTAGAGCCACTATTTCCAACCAGCTGCAGTGGCACAGTGATGTGTCATAAGAATTTTTTAAACATGCAATACCTGATATGTCATCAGGGGCATTGACCTCTTTTCCCTTAAACTGTCAAAGAAAAGAAAAATGACAACAACCGACACAACAATAACTGTGTAAATGACAGTTATACCTTTATTTATTTTTTTGTCAGACTGGCCAAAAAAAAAAAAAAATATATATATATATATATATATTTGTTGGTGTGCCACAAAATTTTAGTAATGAGTTTATGTGTGCCATGAGATAAAAAAAAAAAGGTTGAAAATCTCTGGGCTAGAGTTTCAGTTTGGGATGTGAAAAGGTTTCTGGAGACGGATGGTGATGATGGTTACAGGAGAATGTGAATGTACACTTAACGGTTAAGATGGTAAATTTGTTAAAAAAATTTTAAAGAAATAAAATATATGGTTTCTTCACTCTCTATCTCGCCCTTCCCCCAACCTAACAACAAAAACCCACCATTGTTGGGAACCACACCACCACCCACCAGGAATTACAGCCTTTAGGCAACCAGAAATCCATCTCTGTGGGCTGGAGGTATTCTGAGGCCCACAGGGTTGGGCTGGACATGAGGCCTGTACTGCTCGACATGATCCAGCCACAGTGGCTGACTCATGCCAATCCTCCCACCCGGAACACACCATGCACCCAGAGCACACCACCCACCCACTCCGGACTCTCTAGGTGGCCTTTCTATACCCCAGAGCTCTGAGAGCTGCCCCTTCTCTCCTCTGATCTCCAACAGCACCCACTGTCTGTCCCCCTCTGGAATTCGCTGACGCAACCTCCTTCTGCTTGGCACCTTCCAACTCAAGCAGCTCTGTGCTCTCACTAAGCACTGCCTCCTTGCCTGGGAGAATCACAGTACAAGTGCTACTGGGTGCAGGCAAGACCCCTGGATCTGCTGGTGACACCAGGGACTCTTTTAAAAAATATATATTTTATTGATTTTTTACAGAGAGGAAGGGAGAGTGAGAGAGCTAGAAACGTTGATGAGAGAGAAACATCAACCAGCTGCCTCTTGCACACCCCCTATTGGGGATGTGTCCGCAACCAATGTACATGCCCTTGACCGGAATCGAACCTGGGACCCTTCAGTCCACAGACTGACGCTCTACCACTGAGCCAAACCAGCTTCGGCGACACCAAGGACTCTTAAGGACAAAACAGGTGTCCAGGTCTGGAAGGAGCAAGGTTCTTCTGGGTTTCCAGGAAGGGGGCAGCATGTATGAATCACAGATGGACCAGTCCAGGATCTAGTATTACCAAAGGATTGTTTGTGAGCCCTTTAAAAAGGAAGCAATGATTGCCATCAGTTCAATAAATATAATTCAGGGGTGGGCCTTATTTACTCGGTTTTAATTTCTTTTTAAAATAACGGCTTTAAGGAGATATACACTGAGTGGCCAGATTATTATGATCTCTGAACGCATAATAATCTGGCCATTCAGTATATACACATATACATATACATATACACATACACACACACACATATATATACATTATATATAATATATATATATATTAGAGGCTCAGTGCATGAATTTGTGCATGGGTGGGGTCCAGCCAGCCTGGCTAGGGGGAGGGGATATGGGAGGTTGGCCGACCTGCCTGATGGTCGAACTCCTGGTTGAGGGGACAATTTGCATATTAGCCTTTTATTATATAAGATATACACTGAGTGGCCAGATTATTATGCATTCAGAGATCATAATAATCTGGCCACTCAGTGTATATTATAAAATTAATTTTTAAAATTTGAATTCACAAGATTGTGCAGCCACCATCACTATTTAACTCCAGAACACTTTCGTCACCCAAAAACAAATCTGTATGGTTATTCCCACTCCCCTCTCCCCCACACCACACCCTAGCAACTACTAGTTTGTTTTCTGTCTTTATGTATTTGCCTATCAGATAAATGGAATCATCCCATATGTGACCTTTTGTATCTGGTTTCTTTCATTTAGCATAATGTTTTCAAGGTGGCATATGTTAATCAGCACTTTATTCCTTTTTATTCATTGCTAAATAATGTCCTATTGTATAAATATACCACACTTTACTTATCCATTCATCAGTTGATAAACATTTGAGTTGTTTTCACTTTTGATTGTTATGAACAATGCTGCTACCACACTCACGTACAAATTTTTGTGCAGACATACGTTTTCATTTCCCTTTGGTATATATCCAAGAGTGGAATTGCTGAGACACATGTTCATTTTCTTTTGAAACAAGATTGTCAAGTTAGTCCCTCAGAAAACCACTGCTAACCCGTTATCTCTGCCAGGGTGAGCAAGGCCCCTCTGATAGGCTGCTGGGGGAAAGATAAACAGGTCACAGGTGCCTTTACAATCAGGGGGGTTTGCTATTGGTTGTAGAGCAACCTAGAAAGGTGCCAACTACCAAATCTGCTGGTGACACAAAGTTGGGGCAGAAGCGAGGCCTAAAAGATCTCAGCAAGCTGTGATGTCCAGGATAAAACAGAGCAAGGAGAGCACACATTACCTAGCAACCCCACTTCTGGGTGTACACCCAACAGTACTGAGAGCAGGGACTCGGCCCGGCCGGCATGGCTCAGTGGTTGAGCATCGACCTATGAACCAAGAGGTCAGGGCACATCCCCAATGATTCTCTCTCATCATTAATGTTTCTCTTTCTCCCTCTCCCTTCCTCTCTGAAATTAGTAAAAATATATTTTAAAGAGAGCAGGGACTCGAACATGTTCTAGCAGCATTATTCACAATACTCAAAGGTGAAAACAACTCAAATGCCCATCGATGGATGACTAAATAAACAAAATGTGGTGTGTACTTACAACGGAATATTATTCAGTTTTAAAAAGGAAAGAGCCCAGCTGGTTTGGCTCAGTTGGTTGAGCATCAACCCATGAACCAGGAGGTCATTGGTTAGATTCCCGGTCAGGGCACATGCCTGGGTTGTGGGCTCAATCCTCAGTAGGAGGCATGCAGGAGGCAGTCTATGGATCTATCTCTTTCACTGATGTTTTTTTCTCTTTATCCCTCTCCTTTACTCTAAACATATAATAATATGGTTTTTTTGTTTGTTTTTTTTTAAAAGAAAGGAAATTCTGGCAGATGCTACAACATGGACAAATACTGTATGATTCCACTTATAGGAGGTACCTAGAATAGTCAGACTCACAGAAAGTAGAATGGTGGTGGGAATGAAATGAGGTGCTCTTATTTCCTTGTTTTTGCTAACAGAGTTTCAGTTTTACAAGATGAAAAGAATTGTGGAGATGGATGATGGTGATGGTTGCCCAACAATGTGAATACACATCATGCCACTGAAACTGTGCACTTAATAATGAGTAAAGTAGTAAAGTTTATACCTTATCACAACTTTTTTTAATATATTTTTATTGATTTTTTACATAGAGGAAGGGAGAGAGATAGAGAGCTAGAAACGTCGATGAGAGAGAAACATCGACCAGCTGCCTCCTGCACACCCCCTACTGGGGATGTGACCGCAGCCAACGTACATGCCCCTGACCGGAATCGAACCCGGGACCCTTCAGTCCGCAGACCGACGCTCTACCACTGAGCCAAACCAGTTTCGGCTTTATCACAACTTTTTTTAAAGGCAAGATCGCAAAACTAAGTCCTCCACACCCACTTCTCAAGTGCAGGTCTCGGAGGAAAGGGCTCTGTGTGAT